ACTAGAAAAGAAGAGGCAAGAGAGAATCCCAAATTGGTGAAAAATGACAAGTCTATGTTATTTATATTCTTAGTTTCCTGAAGAATAGTTCTCCAAGCTTGATAAGTAAGCTTGTGACCCATGTGGGGGCATTGAGATGCTGGAACACGATTTTAACTCATTGAGTCAAGTTTAATATGAGTCGAATTAGGTTTTCCCATTTCAAACAAAGAGTAGAGATATAGGATTTGAGCGAAAGCTTGGGCCTCATGATTCCTAAAGGAAAAGGTAATGTGTGAGGCTAGTTCAACAGAGCAGTGATCACCTCTCGCTCTTTGTGGTGGAAAGATTACAAGCCTAATCCACATGAACTCAACATGACACTATGAGTTGACCAAACTTGGACTGTAATCTTTTTTTCTTTCTCTACAACACAAAAAACCTAGAATTTTATCATGATGCCTCGATGGCTTGAAAAGAATTTAAAATTCTACATAACTTAGAGGCTATGTAGGAATATTATAATTTTATTTACCTAAAAAATAATTTTTAAAAGATATTTATTAAATATTTTTTGGAACATACCAAATAATTTCAAAAATCTTAAAACATGACATTTAAAAAAAATAAGGGGGAAAAGGTTACATTGAAAAACTAATATGGTAAAATAAAGAATCAAACAAAAGTAAATAGAATTTTCTTGAACACTTCAAAATTTTCAAAACAAGCCACCGAACCGACCCAATCTGAACCTTAACAAGGAAATCATGAATGCTTAATGGCTTTAGGTTGTGAAACTAAGCTAATTTTTTTTGTGTTATGATCTTTCAATGTTTCAAAATAGTCATTATTGTTTTAAATTGTTACTCGAGTTTCAATTTTTTAGTTATATATTCAAGATAATTATATTGTATAAATTTGATTTTTCAATTTTATTACCAAGTTAGACATTCAAAACATGTTAAGATTAGACGTGTAGCACATTTAAAACTCGTTGATCAAACTGTATAAAAATGGTTACCAAACACATAGAAAACTTTAATATTGACAGTTAAAAGAGAAACTATCAATAAATTTTACAGGTTTATTTCTTCTTTTTGACGCATCTCATTCAAATTACTTATAAAGTATCCACAGACACATATTTTGAATTTGGAAAACGGGTTTCAAATTTTGTACAAGCAAGATATTTTTTACAGTTAACGTGTAAGATAATGAATAGACTTAGAATATTACAAGGTTTTGATACTTTACAAATTCATTCAAAACACTTTGAAAGTTGTGAAAGATTTAGAATTAATGGTTGATTTTGAGAAATTGTGATGCAATTGAACCAATGATTAATTTCTCAATATCAAATATTGTTATATGTGATGGGATACAACAAAGTATAAAAAAATTTATGAAATCCTAGATTGCCAACCAAAAATTATCTTTGCTTCAAAACAAAAAAGGTTGAATTACAAATTATATTACACATTAAAATTAAAAAAAATCAAAATGAAAAATGAATTTTGTAGTTGAGGCCATTGCATTTTTTTCTCTGTTTTCAATGAAAGATCAAACACTGGAAAAGAGGAGGCGAGAGAGAATCTCGTATTAGAGAAAAATGATAAGTGTAGGTTATTTATATATATTCTTAGTTTCCCATGGAATGGTTTGTTGATCTTGATAATGTAAGCTTGTGACCCATGTGGGGGTTTTGAATTGCTTGTGACCCATTTCAAACAAAGTGTTGAGCTATGGGATTTGAGTGAAAGCTCAAGATTCATGATTCCTAAAGGATAGGGTAATTCGTAAGGCTGATTTAATAGAGAAACGATCATCTCTCTCTCTTTGCAGTGGAAGGATTACAAGCCTAATCCACATGGACTCAACATGGCATGACGGGTGACCTAAGTTGGATCGTAATATTTTTTTAGACAACGCAACAAACCTGGAATTTTATCATGATGCTTCGATGACTTGAAAAGAGTTTAAAATTCTACATAACTTAGAGGCTATGTATGAATATTATATTTTTATTTACCTAAAAAATAATTTTTTTAAAAAAAAATATTTTTTGAAGCATACCAAATAATTTCAAAAATCTTAAAACATGGCATTTGTTTTGGAAAATTAAGGGGGAAAAGTTACATTAAAAAACTAATATGGTAAAACAAAGAATCAAACAAAACCGAATTGAATTTTCTTGAACAGTTCAAAATTTTCAAAATAAACCACCGAACCGGCCTAATCTGAACCTTAACAAGGAAAAACATGATTGTTTAATGGCTCCAGGTTGTCAAATTAAGCTAATTTTTTTTTTGTATTTTCAATGTAAGATCAAACACTAGAAAAGAAGAGACGAGAGAGAGTCCCACAATAGAGAAAAATGACAAGTATATGTTATTTATATTCTTATTTCCCCAAGAATAGTTAGTCGAACTTGGTAACGTAAGTTTGTGACCCATGTGGGGGTTTTGAGATGTTGGAACACGATTTTAACTCATTGAGTCGTGTTTAATGTGGTTCAACTTAGGCTTGCCCATTTCAAGCAAAGAGTTGAGCTATGGGATTTGAGTGAAAGCTCGGGCCTCACTGATTCCTAAAGGAGAGGGTAATGCACGAGGTTAGTTTAACAGAGCAACGATCACCTCTTGATCTTTGCAGTGGAATGATTACAAGCCTAATCTATATGAACTCAACATGGCACTATGGGTTGACCGAAGTTGGACCGTAATCTTTTTTTCTTTCTCGACAACACATAAAACCTGGAATTTTATCATGATGCCTCAATGGATTGAAAAGAATTTAAAATTCTACATAACTTAAAGTTATGTATGAATATTATATTTTTATTTACTTGAAAAATAATTTTGAAAAAATATTTATTAAATATTTTTTGAAGCATACTAAATACTTTCAAAAATCTTAAAACGTGACATTTGTTTTTAAAAAATTAAGGGGAAAAAAGATTACATTGAAAAACTAATATGGTAAAACAAAGAATCAAACAAAACTAAATTGAATTTTCTTGAACAATTCAAAGTTTTCAAAACAAGCCACCGAACCGACCCAATTTGATTCTTAACAAGGAAAAACATGATTGCTTAATGGCTCTAGGTTGTCAAACTAAGTTAAATTTTTGTGTTATGACCGTCAAATGTTTCTAAATAGTCATTATTGTTTTAAATTGGTACTCGAGTTTTAATTTTTTTAGTTATATTTTCAAGGTAATTATATTGTATAAATTTGATTTTTCAATTTTATTACGAAGTTAGACAATCAAAACATGTTAAGATTTACGTGAAGCACATTTAAAACTAGTGGATCAAACTGTATAAAAGTGATTACTAAACACATGGAAAACTTTAATATCGAGAGTTAAAAGAGAAACTATCAATAAATTTTATAGGTTTATTTCTTCTTTTTGACGCGTCTCATTCAAATTGCTTATAAAGTATCCACAGACACATGTTTTGAATTTGGAAAAAGCATTTCAAATTTTGTACAAGCAAGATGTTTTTTTACAGTTAACTTGTAAGATAATAAATAGACTTACAATATTACAAGGTTGATACGCTATTGATACTTTACAAATTCATTCAGAACACTTTGAAATTTGTGTAAGATTTAGAATTAATAGTTACTTTTGAGGAGTTATGATGCAATTGAACCAATGATTAATTTCTCAATATCAAATGTTGTTGTTGTGATATGACACAATTAAGTACGACAACCTTTATGAAATCTTAGATTGCCAACCAAAATTTATCTTTGCTTCAAAACAAAAAGCTTGACATATATATAATATTACACATTAAAATTATAAATATCAAAATGAAAAAGGAATTTTTTTAGTTGAGGCCATTGCATTTTTTCTCTATTTTCAATGAAAGATCAAACACTAGGAAAGAGGAGGCGAGAGAGAATCCCACATTGGAGAAAAATAACAAGTCTTAGATTATTTATATTCTTAGTTTCCCCAAGAATAGTTTGTTGTGCTTGGTAACATAAGTTTGTGACCCGTTTGTCTTTGAGATGTTGGAATACAATTTCAACTTATTGAGTCAAGTTTTTTTTGGTCGACTTAGGCTTGCCTATTTCAAGCAAATAGTTTAGCTATGGGATTTGAGCAAATAGTTTAAGAGAGTAGCGATCACCTCTCGCTCTTTGCAGTGGAAGGATTACATGCCTAATCCACTTGAACTCAACATGGCACAACGGATCGACCAAAGTTGGACTGTAATCTTTTTTCCTTTTTCAGCAACGCAAAAACCTGGTTGAGACTTTACAAATTCATTCAAAACACTTTGAAATTTTTGAAAGATTTAGAATTAATGGTTGATTTTGAAGAGCTCTGATGCAATTGAACCAATAATTAATTTCTCAATATCAAATGTTATCTGTGATAGGATATAACAAAGTATGAAATCCTAGATTTCCAACCAAAAATTATCTTAGCTTGAAACAAAAAGGTTGAAATACAAATAATATTACACATTAAAATTAAAAAAATAAAATGAAAAAGGAATTTTGCAGTTGAGGACATTGCATTTTTTTCTCTATTTTCAATGTAAGATTTAAACACTAGAAAAGAGGAGGCGAGAGAAAATTCCACATTAGAGAAAAATGACAAGTCTAATTTATTTATATTATTAATTTCCTCAAGAATAGTTCGTCAAGCTTGGTAATGTACTCATTGAGTCAAGTTTAAACCCACTGTAAGTCATTTTAAATTTGTTTCTTCTCCCTTCTTCATTCTTGCTCATCTAAATCCTCTCATCTTCTAAAAATAGTGGCATCATCAGAACTTCTTTAGCATACCGTCATCGTCTATGGTCGTTCTAGAACCAAACTTAGAAGGTTAGAACTTTTTGGCCTCTCAATCATGTTTTCGTCGTCCAATTTCCCAAAAGTTACAAATTTTATAATGTAGAATTATTTATATAATATAAACATATATATTATCTAATATAAACATATATATATATATATATTATATAATTAAAAATATGTAATAGTTATTACTTAAAAATTATAAGCTTTCCGATTCTCTGGCAGTTGTTCGCTCATTGTTTGATTTGTTTCCGTTTTACTTTAATTTATTCTTCTTCGTCGACGCCAACCACCAAGAGGAGACCTCTTTACATCGAGAAATGAGCGGGCACGATTCGAAGTATTTCTCGACTACGAAGAAGGGAGAAATCCCTGAGCTCAAGGAAGAGCTTAATTCTCAGTACAAGGTACCAACATATATCAATCCATCTACATTTCTTGATCTGATTCTTTTTATTCCCTTCGTTTTCGTTTTGGAATTATTTTAGCTGACCACTCTATGTTTTCTCGTTAGATCTATCATTTTACGCTTCGTTTTGTTTTTTAGAGGTGTAAATTTACTGAATTATGTCTTAGATATGTGGCCTTTTTATGTTTTCTTTTTCTCGATTAATTGCCGATAATGGTACATAACTGTAAACTGAAAGAAAGTTTCATTTTACTTTATAAGGATCAATTCTACTTGATTTGAGAATTGGTTATGCTTTTCCTTATATCATGTTTTCGTTTGTATTAGATTTATATATCTGTCCTCATTGAACTTTAACCGTTATACAATTTCAATTTTCTTGGTTTTCTTTTAGTTAAATTATTTTAGTGAAGAATTTTTTAGGTTTAAGCTAGTTTCAATCCTGTAGTTATTAGCATTTGAAAGGACTTGAAACTGTAATCCAACAAATTTGAATGTATATTTTTGCACATGTGTTTTTGTGTCGCATCTTATGGGATTGTAATCATGCTCTTCTTTTCTGTGTTGTGAAGGATAAAAGAAAAGATGCTGTGAAAAAGGTTATTGCTGCAATGACAGTTGGGAAGGATGTTTCGTTGCTGTTCACAGATGTAGTGAATTGCATGCAAACTGAGAATTTGGAGCTGAAAAAGCTTGTGTATTTGTATCTCATAAATTATGCTAAAAGCCAGCCCGATCTTGCAATTCTTGCAGTAAATACATTTGTAAAGGTATGCAATTTATCAAACACTTCATCTTTACAATATACCACAGGTTAAAAGATGTGTGTGTGTATATATATATATATATATTCATTTTACATGGATATTGCTATTGCCATTATATGAACTTATAAAATTAGAAAAATATGTGTTGATTAAGATAGTCACTTGTTTTTCTGCTCAAGCTGTGTATTCTGATCCTAAAACCTTTTAGGACTGTAGTGAAGGATTCCGCACAGTTTGAAACTGATTGTCAACCATTCGCGAATGTCGATTTATTTTCTTTGTGGTTTGCTTTCGAGGCCAAATAATTTTCTTCTCGTAAGACAGTAGTATTATATGATTATTTTGATAGTCAGTCAAATTCCGTGCAAATGGCTGAGTAAAACGCCCTACGTAGATGAGTAAATAGATTATACAGCTCTTGTCCTTTTTTTCCTTAGTTACTTGAGCTGATTATATTTTAATTGTACTGGAAGAGGAAGTTTGTTATCATTCTAGTTTTAAATAAGTGTTGTTCATAACGTGCTTGTTACCGCATTTCTCCTTATACATGTTTTTCTGAATCATTTAGTATTCTTTTTCTCATGAAAGATGTCTCTTGTAATCTTCTTTTATGAGCATACTGGGTGTTTAAAAATTTCTTGCAAGTATATTTTTGGTTGACAATGCCCGTATTAAGAGGAGGTTCAAAAATTGTCATGTCTGACCTTCCTATTGTCATTGTGTCTGCCTCAAAGATCGAAATCATGATAGGGAGTTAGGTTGACATGTTATGTTTGTTTTAAGGTTCTGTAATGATACTTTATGATATCTAATGAACTTTTATTTTTGTGAGTACATAAACAGGATTCACAGGATCCAAATCCTCTCATTCGTGCTTTGGCTGTTCGGACTATGGGGTGCATTCGTGTTGATAAAATCACAGAATATCTCTGTGATCCCCTTCAGAGGTGCCTCAAGGTCAGCTTCTGTTATATTATATTACCAAGTTATAGCAATATTTTTTTGTTCTGTTTTTTGCTCTTCTTTTTATCACGTATTACTCTTACCATGCTTAATATTTGAACAGGATGATGATCCGTATGTTCTCAAGACAGCTGCCATATGTGTTGCTAAACTTTATGACATAAATTCTGAGTTAGTTGAGGATAGGGGGTTCCTAGATTCTCTGAAGGACTTAATATCTGACAACAATCCAATGGTTGTAGCTAATGCTGTGGCAGCTCTTTCTGAGATCCAAGAGCATAGTTGTAGACCAGTATTTGAAATCACTACTCCGACACTCTCAAAGCTCCTTACTGCTCTTAACGAATGCACTGAGTAAGTTCAATGGTTTGAAACCTATGGCACTGCTTCACCCCCCCCCTCCCCAATAGCTACAATAAGGGCATTGCATTAATTTATATGCAAAGTAGGAATTAATAGATATTTTGGCATTTTATATTTTCATGATTTTTGAACATTACGGTTTCGTTCTCAGAAGTTAGTCTGTATGGAATTAGCATGGTTGTTGAGATGGATGTGTTGCTGTTTTGTAATCTTCTAAAAAGACAGCTTAATCAAGTCATTGATCTAGTTACTGTTTCTTTTGTTGGGTTTTGGCTGTAAACTCTGTGCTTATTCCATCTCATTTTGATAATGGTGCATATCAGGTGGGGCCAAGTTTTTATACTTGATGCTCTCTCTCGATACAAGGCAAGTGATGCTCGTGAAGCAGAAAATATAGTGGAGAGAGTTACACCACGACTTCAACATGCTAATTGTGCTGTTGTACTTTCGGCTGTTAAGGTGGATTTTGTTTTCCATTTGATAATTTTGTTTAAGCATCAGGACTGTCTTTTATCAATCTACTTATTAGCATGTCATGATTTTGTGCCTACTCCTTTCTTTTTTCTGCCTTTCAGATGATCCTTCAACAAATGGACCGTATCACTAGTACTGACATTGTTCGAAATCTTTGCAAAAAGATGGCTCCTCCTCTTGTTACATTACTCTCTTCAGAACCTGAGATACAATATGTTGCATTACGGAATATCAACCTAATCATTCAAAAGCGACCTACAATTCTTGCCCATGAAATCAAGGTGAACTGATATGGAAATAATATCTGCATGCTTGCTCAATCGCATGCATTTACATTTTTGCTTGACTGATGTCTATGCTTCTTTATCGTTGTAGGAGCCTTGATTATATGCTTACTTATTTTTTTCTAGGTGTTCTTCTGCAAGTATAATGACCCAATTTATGTGAAGATGGAAAAGTTGGAAATAATGATAAAGCTTGCTTCTGACCGGAATATAGACCAGGTATCAAAATTTTGGTGCAGATGGATTTATTTGTATTTTTTTTATTATACACTTAAGATGTATTAATTTTGATATAAAGTCCTAATTTAAGATGTTCTCTCACTAAATACCTTTGTAGCTTTTATTGGAGTTTAAAGAATATGCCACAGAAGTAGATGTAGATTTTGTGAGAAAGGCTGTCCGTGCCATTGGTCGTTGTGCTATCAAGTTAGATAGAGCAGCTGAACGGTGCATTAGTGTTCTGCTTGAGTTGATCAAGATTAAAGTAAACTATGTTGTTCAAGAGGCTATTATAGTTATCAAAGATATCTTTAGAAGATACCCTAACACGTATGTCCCATTTTTTTTACTTCTATTTTATGTTGCAACATGATCGAAAATGTAAAACTCATGTCACTGCATTTTTTTAATAGCAATAGAAACCTCATGTTTGGGACCTTGCTGATGATTTCCTACTAACCTTCACAGGTATGAATCCATCATCGCAACCCTCTGTGAGAGCTTGGACACTTTAGATGAACCAGAAGCTAAGGTACCTTTTGTTTCAATATTTACAAAAAATATCAGCATAATGTTTTTTGTTATTACTGTAAATTGTTTTTTGTTAGCTCATTGCTTTTGTTGCTCTTCTTACCTCCTTGTTGCTAAGGCATCAATGATATGGATAATTGGAGAATATGCGGAAAGAATTGACAATGCTGATGAGCTTCTTGAAAGCTTCTTGGAGAGTTTCCCAGAAGAGCCTCCCCAAGTTCAACTGCAACTATTAACTGCTACAGTGAAACTTTTTCTGAAGAAGCCAACTGAAGGCCCGCAGCAGATGATTCAGGTCTTGCATTTGCGGTATTTATGCACATTTTGAGTTATATGTTCTGATTTTGCCACATTGCAATGCAAGTTCCTAGTTGCCTAAAATGAAAAGTGCATAAAGTATATAGTGAGAGAACGTCCCGCTTCTCTCTAGATTCCAGTTTTTAAAAAAAAGTCACGTGGGTATGACTGAACGCTCAACCCAACCACAACCTTGACCACCGCCATCAGTTGTCAACTATCCACTTTCCACCGTTCTTCGTCTACCACCGTCCGCCGCCGCCGCACGCCAATTTCCGTTCGACGTCATTTTTCTTAGGGAATATCGTCTGCTTATGGAGATTCCAAATCTGGGCTTAGTTTTGCGATGAAGTCTTCCAATCGGTGCAGATCTATACTTTCTTCACTGTCGAATTTAGCCACCAACCGCCGTCTGTGTTCGACACAGCCTCACCACCAAGCTCTGCGTCATTTGGCGACCAAAACCCACCTATCCTTGAGTTGAGACCCGTTGCTGTTCTCCGGGATTTCGATTTTTACTGTTTCGAAGTTACCAGAAACTGTTACTGTTCCGTCGTCTACTTCTGTTCCGCCATCTACTACTGTTCAGCCGTCTTTCTGCGTCGACCAGGTTGTTCCGACGTTACTGGGTTCTTTGACATTACCGGGGGTGCTACAGATTATCCGTCCATTGCTCTCATTCTGTCAGTTTGGGCTCAACTGTTTGGGAGCAAGGATATGAACATGCTTTACGGCAGTCTGCTGATCTGAAACAATTGCTGGAACTGGAAGAGCTTTTGAGCATAGCAAAACCAAGCTTGCTTGGCGAGGACGAATGTCTCAAAGCTCAGGGAAGGAAGGCGAGATAGTAACTTTGTTCATGCAAAACATTCCTCCTAGATATCATTGGAGTGGGTTGAGTCAACTATTCGGGAGGCATGAAGATGTGATTAGTTCTTATATAGCAAGGAAAAATGATAGAACAGGAAAGCGCTTTGGGTTTGTTAGATTTTCCAACAGAGATGACACAGTTAGAGCAGTCTAAAGATTAAATGGATTCTGGTTATTTGGATATCGATTTATCAGTCAACGAAGCTCGGTATGGAGCTAAGAATCAAAACTGGAAATTGAATTATCCATCTACTTCCAATGCTACAACCAGGGTAGAACAAGGAAAAAACATTAGTGGAGAAAGTCCGGAGGAACTAGCAAGAAGGAGGACTAGGCTAATACAGGGGGATGTAGATGAGGAAGTTGTTCGAAAGCTCCAGAAGTGCCTCGTAGGAACGATGGCGACGTTTTGCTCTTTGAGTCAGGTGGAAGACAGATTACAAACAGGAGGTCTAGGAGAAATTAAGACCAAGTTCCTGGGAGGGAGAGATTTCTTATTGCAAATAGATGATGAAGAGTTATACAGAATCTTGAAGGAGCAGAATTGGTCTATTTTATATGAAGTTTTTCAGGAAGTTCAACCTTGGTCAGAATCATTCAGAGCGTCGGAAAGAGCAACATGGATTAAACTGTTTGGAGTGCCGCTTCACTGCTGGAACCATAGCACCTTTAAGAAGATAGCACAACAATGGGGAGAATGCTTAGCGATGGCAGAAAACGCACTTCAAGAATTGGGCTGCGAGGAGATGACTATTCTGATAGCAACTAGTAGGGAAGAATTAATTGATGAAGTGGTAGACTTGGAAGCAGGTAGAGATATATTTAGAATTAGAGTAGTGGAATTTCCATCAATTATAAGTGATTCATTGTTTCGAAAGCGGGAAGAAAAAGAAGGTGTGGTGGTAGTCGATTCTGAATCATCGGCAGGAAGAAGCGTGGACTCATCGGAGGAGAAGAATTCCGAGAGGTGTTCTGAGGAAGAAGACAGTCAATTATGTTGTATGGGGAACAGAACTAGAGGCAACAACTTTTTTTTTTATAAGAAGATAGGCCTCGTTAAAAACCCCCTTCATGATTAATGGAACAAAAAAATGTTCCTTAGTCAGCGGAAGGAGGAAAAGAGTGCCTTAATAACCATTACTAAACAAGAGTTACATAATGTTTAACAACAGAATTCTCCCTTACAATAATAAACCCAAATGCTGAAAGAATCCATACACACTGAGAACTAACCGATACCGGCCTTAGCTAAGCTGTCAGCCTCAACATTAGCTGATCTAGGAACCCATCTAATAATACCATTTAGATCTCTTAACAAAAAACCAATATCTCTCACTAAAACTCTATAAACAACAGGACATCGATCATAGTTCTTGACCCACTCCACTACTAGTTTGCTATCAGATTCAATAATAAGACGATCCTGAACCCTCAGAAGAAAAGATTCAAAGAAAGATAAACCCTTCTTAATTGCCAAAATCTCCACCAACAGCGGAGGACCTGGACCAGCCGCCTCTAGGAAAGAACCCTTCACCGAGCCATCCTCCAATCTAAGAATGCCACCCACACTACTTTTCCTCCAATCACCACTCACTGCTGCATCCACATTAAGTTTTATAAAACCCTTTGGAGGGGGGGACCAAGACACAGTTTTGATTATCGAGGACCTTGAAAGGGAACAATAATCCCCAAGAGTAGGATCCGAAATAAGAGAGTCCATAATAGAAACATCGTTGAATTTTGCTAAAAACCAATTCGCCAATCTGCACCTTGCCAAAAAGAACAGATCAGTCTGATATACCCTTCCCCCATCGAACACAATGTCGTTTCTACTCTTCCAAATGGTCCATATAACCACTCCCGGAATGAAGGGCCAGATTTTAGAGTCTAACACCATATCATTCCAAGCAACCATAAAACTTTTAGCATTGTCCTGCAAAGCCGAACACACTCCCCAGAATTTCAAAAATTTGTTCCAAAGAGTCCAAGCCACTACACAAGTGAAAAATAAATGTGAAAGAGATTCGGCCTCCTTTTTGCATAAGGGGCAAGCAACATCACCGATAGAGGAGACTCCTCTCCTTAGAAGTTCTTGTTTAACAGGCAGTTTGTTGTGCACCACCTTCCACAAGAATACCTCCACTCTAGGAGGCACCAAACCCATCCAAATATTATTCATCCAAAAAGGGTCTGATGTCGAAACAGGACAGCAAGACTTCACATTGGATTTAACAGAATAAATTCCTTCTCCGTTCCCTCTCCAGACCAACCCATTAGACAACTCAGAAGAAAGAGTTATGTTGTGAATTATAGCCAATAGATCGGTAAACTGACTCAGCTCCCAGTCGCTTAAATTTCTTCTCAATTTAACATGCCACGACCAAATAGAAGATCGAAACTGTCCATACTCATTAAGTTTCCCATCCCTATTTAAAGAGAGGACAAACAGTCTCGGGAAAACATCTTTTAAAGGGAAGTCAAGCGCCCAACTATCAAACCAGAACCTGATTCTCTCACCATTCCCCACTCTAACTTTGAACTGATTTCGAAACCTGGCTCCAAACTGATCCTCATTGAAATGATTGTGAACTACTGATTTCCAGATCCAAGAAGAATGAGAAGGAATATTATCCTTGAAAACAGAGATCCAATGTCCATATTATACTTAGTGCAAATTACCTTCTTCCACACAGATTCCCTATCATTTGCAAACCTCCACGACCATTTACCTAGTAGGGCTCTATTCATATGATTGAGATCCAAAACGCCAAGACCACCAACTTCTTTAGCAGAGCATACTGTAGACCAATTGATCCAGTGGATTTTTTTAACCTCTGCCCCTCCTCCCCATAAGAAACTGGCCATGATGGAATTTAGTTTTGTCACTACCGAGGAGGGAATTTTGAATAAAGACATGAAATAGATGGGTAGGGAACACAAGACAGACTTCAATAAAACCACTCTCCCTGCCATAGACAAAGTCTTAGCTTTCCATCCGGCTAACTTTTTATGAAATTTCTGGACGATCGGATCCCACAAAAGAATGGAGTTCCTCCTAGCACCAAGCGGCAATCCCAGATAGTCCGAAGGGAAGTGCCCAACTAAACACCCAACAGCATTAGCCCACTGCGATAATTCATCCTCACTGATATTAATACCAAATAATTTGCTCTTAGTGAGATTAAGTCTAAGGCCTGACATTACTTCGAAAACCCGAAGAACCCTCTTCACATTAAGGAGCTGTGTCTTTGAAGCAGTACAAAAAATTATAAGATAATCTGCGAATTGCAGATGAGATAAATTCAGAACAGCCTCATCTTTGCCAACCACCAGACCAGAAAACAAACCTTCAGCAACTGCCTTTAACAGCAGTGAGTTTAAGAGCTCTCCAACGAAATTAAACAGCAAAGGGGACAGGGGGCAGTCCTGCCTAAGACCTCTAGCCATAGCAAATTCATCCATAGGGACCCCATTAACTAAAACAGACACCGAAGCTGTAGTAACACATTTACGAATCCAGCCGCACCATTTTGAACCAAACCCCATCTTAGACATAACTTTAAAGAGAATATCCCAATCAACGGTGTCATAAGCCTTCTTGAAATCCACCTTAAACACACAATCCTTTAAACCTTTCTTCCTCCAGAAGTCAATGCCTTCATTTGCAATAAAAGAACAATCCAGAATTTGTCTCCCAGAAATGAAAGCATACTGAGAATCACTAATAATAACATTCATGCAGCCTCTCAATCTTCTCGAAAGGCACTTGGACAGAATTTTATACATCCCTCCTACTAGTCTAATAGGTCTGCAGTCATCCAACCCCCCATTATTAGAACCCTTTGGAATAAGAGTGATGAAAGAATGATTGATGCCGTGTTCCCAATTTTTTCCCAAGAAAAAATTGTGGAAAAATTTCAGGATATCACCTTTCAAGGTTGGCCAAATTTTTTTGAAAAAACCCAAGTTCAACCCATCTGGCCCAGGCGTTTTGTTACTATCACACGAGTTAATGGTATCCCAAATCTCAGCTTCCGTAAACTCCTCTAGCAAAAGAGACTGCTCCACAGAAATTCTAGCAAAATTCAACTGAATATCCTCCACTTCCAAAGTTGAACAACAATTAAAAGCTTTGAAGAAACGCTCTTTGATAGAAGTCTTAATAAGAGAAGGATCTTTGATAGTAACACCATCAACTTTAATAGCGTTTAGAGAATTTAGCCTCCTTCTAATGCTGGCACATGTGTGAAAATATCTAGAATTACGGTCTCCATCTTTAACCCACTTCTCTCTTGAGTTTTGGAACCAGATTCGTTCCTCAATCCTGTAGAGGCAACAACTTGTCGGGTGAGGACGAGGAGGAAAGGAACATAGAGGAGGAAATAATTATGGGTCTGAGGAATATTATTGCTGGTCAGGGGAAGGTTCAAATGCAAATCGAGGAAGTGGTGGAACACGAGGTAGATTTGCCCATTTTGGATGATCGATTAGAGTCAAAGGTGGTGGAGGATGTGATTAATATGGGCCTTTCAAATAGTGCTATCAAAAGATCCAAGGGTGAGGAAGCCCAACAGAATGTGGTTGTGGTTGACCGGGTGGATGGAAAACCCAAATCGGGGATAGTATGTGAGGATTTGGACCAGAGCCTTTGCTTGTCATCACAATTGAGGGACGACGTTTTCATGCACAATTCCAGGCAGATCCAGAGAGCAAAGGAGGGGAAAAATAATAAATATAGCTCTCTCCAAATAATTTAAGAGAAATATGTGGCTCCCCAAAGGAAGACTAGATACTGTCGAAGCAAGAATAATCAGAAGAAGGTGCAACACGAGGAAGATTTGACTGAACTTGAAGGCAAATCCCTATCTGATTCTGACTTTCAAGCAAGGTGGCAGAGACAAAAGAAGGAGGTGAAAGAAACCTTACAGATCGGGAAAGAATTGGGTATAATGTCTGAAGGCTCAAAAGTGGTTTTGATTTCGGAAAATTATAGCAGTGGAAGAATAGGAAAGTGTGTAACATTCCCTATCTATTGATTTTAGCTGTTTTCAGAGGAAGTAGGTCGAGATGAGGATCTTCTGAATTGAGGAGGATTGTTGGATGTATAAGTGTGAGATTGTGTTGATTCAAGAAACAAAATGAACTGAATAGTTTCAGGTGATTCGCATATGATTACTGATAATGGAGTTGGAGGTTCGGATGGTCTCCGACGACAAGACGAGCAATAAGTGATAGAAAGGCGGATAGAGTGTTTTCGAAGCTTGCTTTTTTGGACTCTTATCGTGTGGAAGCTCATGGCTTTTGTGTTAGAATTTGGCTGCTATGGAATGAGTCAGTTGATATATTTGACTTCCTTTATAGTTGTTTTGTTTTGTGTTGTATTTCGGGCCAAATTTAGGCTTTAAGTCTTTATTGGTGTTGTAAGATTGGTTAACTGGTCAGCTAAATTAGAGGCTGTTGTTGTAGCTAAGATGGAAGGCTGACTTAGTGTTGTTGTATAGGGTTGTTTTTGGTTGTTTTTGGTTTTCTGTTTATGTTGGGGGTGACTCTCTGGATGTATCTTTTGTAATTTCTTATGTTTAATGAAATCTTAAGGCACTTTTTTCCTCCTTCCGCTGATTAAGGAGCTTCTCTACAAGCTCCTTTAATCAAAAAGGGGTTTTTTAACGAGGCCTTCAATTCCTATCAAAAAAGTGCATAAAGTATCATCGTTCAGTGTTATCAGCATTGTTGTTATAATTTTTGTGTCTGTTACTTATTTTACTTAGCTGAAGATTTGTTATATTGATACGTCACATCCCAGGCCTAATTATGATTTGGGTTTGTTTATAGGTTGTTTTGAATAACGCTACTGTGGAAACTGACAATCCTGATTTACGGGACCGTGCATACATTTATTGGCGCCTTCTATCAACTGATCCTGAGGTATGATTTTACCCTAACAAATTGTAGTTCATTATTCTATGAATTTAATTTCCAAAATTGAGTCATTTTTCAATTCAGAGCCTTTTCTTACCTTGAGGGGAAGGGTACAAAGGTATTTTGCTTTAAGCTCATTCATCTCCATTTTGAAAGCTGCTCTTAAGTCAGCCATACTATATTATTAGGCTCTGCTTTAGGAATCCTTTAATCATGTCTACATGATTAGCTACATAAATACTTTTATTTAAGGGTCTTTTATGTTCCGATGTGGTGGCCTCTTTCAATCCAGCTGTTACAGGTTGCCTTTATAACCAATATTATTTTTAACGTTAATCATTTGGTTATTATCGGGAAATAGTTTATAAGTACTTTATTAGAAGTTAGTATTTTGTTAGAAGTATTAGGAGATTTTATTTGTGAGTATTTTATATTAGAAGTCTTTCCTTATATTAGGAGACTTGCTTTTTAATGAATTTAGTAACTCTTTTATTTTAACTAATGTAACATCTATTTAAGAGACCAAATTAAAATAAATAAAGATAACTCAGAACTCTTTTTTTTTTATAGAAGATTAGGCCTCATTAAAAACCACCTTTTTCAACCTCCATGTTATAAAAGTAACATGAAGGACAAGGAAAAGAGAAAAAGAGTGCCTAGAATTTATTAGATGAAACAATAGTACAACAAAGGCAGACCCTAAACATCTGCTAACACCACCATAAATTACATAAAACTTAAACACAACAGCTAAACATAGGGAAAAAAATTTTCTACTCAATACAATCAGACAGAAACCATTACATCACCCTATCCCATCTTTAGCTAATTTGTCAGCTTCCCAATTTGCAGCCCTAAAAATATGCTTGATAATGATATCCTTCCCTGCCATAAGAGAGACTATCTCCTTCACCAATACTTGAAACATAGGAGTGCATAAACCCGGATTCTTGATCCATTTTAGGGCATTGCTTGAATCTGATTCAAGAATAAACCTCTTATTAGGAACAGAACTTAAATCTTCCAGAAGACATAACCCCCTCTTAATCGCCAATAATTCTGCCAAGATAGGAGGACCACCCCCGACTCTTTCTGAAAACCATTGAAGCAACACTCCTTTACTGTCCCGAATCAAACCACCAATACCTCCCTTATCCCAACCCTTGACCATCGCTCCATCAACATTTAGCTTTAAGAACCCATCCGGAGGAGGGACCCAGCAAATTGGTTTAGAGTTTCCATTTCCTTGTCTACCCACCAGATCAGCAAGTTTTAAATCTCCCACAAGAGAGTCTAAAGGTATATGCACATCCTTGAACTTTGCAACAAACCAGGAAGCTATTCTAAAACGGACAATAAAGAACAGTCTCACCACATCCAGCTTAACTTTCTGAAAAATAACCTCGTTTCTGCATTTCCACATTGATCACATCAACGCCCTTGGAATAAATTTACAGATCAAAGAATTCGGAAATAAATCATCCCACAAATTGAAGAAGTCCATGATATTCTTTGGAATCATAAAGGACAAATTCCAAATATTCAATAATCTGGCCCACAGACCCCATACTACCTCGCAATGCAAAAATAAATGCGTAACTGATTCCATTTCCTTACCACACAAAGAGCATAAAGGATCATCAATCCCTACCACACCTCGCTTCAGTAATTCCTCCTTCATCGCCACTCTCTGGTGAGCAACTTGCCAGACAAAAGTCTCCACCCGTGGAGGAGCAATCCCTGCCCAAATATGCCTCTCCCAGGTCTCCATCTTCTGCTGAATACCATCTTGATCAAGGAAAATGTTGATACAAGATTTAGCTGAAAAACAACCCTCACCATTCCCTGACCAAATCCAACAGTCTTCCTCAGATGGCGATATTGAGATATTGTTCAACATAGAAATCAATTGCAACAGCTGTTCAACCTCCCAATCCGCCAAATTTCGCCTCATTTGAATGTCCCACACCCAATCAGCGCCATTATTCACCCTAAACTCCATCACCTTACCCGATTTGTTGCTCGAAAGAACATAGAGTCTAGGAAACTGTATTTTCAAAGGTACTTCACCCAACCATACATCATTCCAGAACTGCACATAATTCCCCTTGTCTTCAAACGCATATTCTTCCTAATATAATCCCCAAAACCATCATCGGAAAAGAAATTTTTAACAACACCTCTCCAAATCCATGATGCACGGGCTGGCCACGAATTCCCCATCATTATGCAATTCGGATCCATGTCATAAACATCATATACCACCCTCTTCCACCAAGACTCTTTCTCTGATGCAAACTTCCAAACCCACTTCCCCAATAATGCTCTGTTCAAGAGTAATAAATTCGGGACCCCTAGACCCCCCAATCTTTTTGGACAACTAACCGAACTCCAATTTAACCAGTGGATTTTTTTTTATCCGCTGCACCCCCCACAAAAATGAAGCCATGATAGAATTTAGTTTCTTTAGCACAGAAGCTGGAATTTTGAAAATGGAAAGAAAATACACAAGGAGTGAGCACAACACTGACTTAACCAGTACTACCCTTCCTGCAAGCGACAGGGAATTAGACATCCAACCGCTCAACTTATTATGAAATCTCTCCACTATTGGCTCCCACATGGCAGCCGAATTTCTCTTATAGCCCAAGGGTAAACCTAGATACTCTGATGGGAAACTTCCTACTGAACAACCAATATCATTCGCCCAAGTAGCTAACGCCCCATCCTCAACATTGATACCATAAATTCTAACTTGATTAATCCTCAACCCCACCAGTAGCTCATATATTAATAACACTCTTCTAACATTCCTCAAATCACGAATAGAGCCTTTACTGAAAATTCTAAGGTCATTCGCAAATTGCAAATGCGAAAGCTTAAATGCCCTATCATGAACACCTACATCGAAACCTGAAAACAGTCCTATGTCAACTGCTTTAGTAAGCAACAGATGCAGTAGCTCACCGGCCATATTGAACAGCAAAGGCGATAACGAACAACCCTGTCTCAATCCCCTCGCTGTGTGAAATTTCTCTGTAGGTGACCCGTTTACTAGAACCGAAATGGATGCTGAAGACATACATTGATACATCCATGACCTCCACTTGTCACCAAACCCCATTTTGCTCATAATTTTCATCAAAATGTCCCAATCAACCGAATCATAGGCTCTCTTGAAATCCACTTTGAAGACTACTCCCTTCAACCCTTTCTTCCTCCAAAAGTCAATGCATTCGTTTGCAATAAACGAGCAATCCAATATGTTCCTTCCCGGAATTAAAGCAAATTGAGACAGACTCATTATATCGTTAATGCACAAACTCAATCTTCTAGCTAAAACCTTTGATAAAATTTTATATAGCCCTCCGACTAGGCTAATTGGCCTAAAATCTTCCAACCCCTCCGGATTGGCCTTCTTAGGAATGAGAGAAATAAAGGAATGATTAACCTCCGAGTCTCACTCCTTCCCCACATAGAAATCTTTAAAAAACAGCATCACATCGTCCTTCATAATGGTCTAGAATTTCTTGAAGAAGCCTAAATTTAGACCGTCCAGTCCCGGAGCTTTATTACTATCCGAATGAACGATAACATCCCATACTTCCTCTTCCGAAAATGGCTTCTCCAATGCTAGACACTGCCCTTCCGATAGTCTAAGAAAATCCAGATTTAGATCCTCAACCTTCAAAGTATTCCTTTGATTAAACAACCCCTTGAAGAACTCCACCACAGAAGCTTTGATAACATTGAGATCTACCGTGACTACATTGTCAACTTTAAGAGATTTAATACAGTTTATCCTCCCTCTTACTGCCGCATTATGATGGAAAAAACTAGTGTTCTTATCTCTATCCAATCTCCACTTTATTCTAGACTTTTGCATCCAAATCGATTCTTCTTTTTTTTGTAGCTCCCATAATTCTCTCTTTGCTTCGACAATAGATTGCATAGACACCATGGGAAGTCCTTGTTGCAAGTCCATTTCCATATCATGAATTCTTCTCTCCAACGTTCTGATTTTTCCTGGCACCTCTTTGCCAAATCCTTCACCCGATTAAGTACTTTGGATATGGACATCGGGTTCGTCCCTTTGCAGAATTTAAACAACTCTGTTTTCATTATCTCATTAAACCCTTCTTCCTCCAGCACATAATTAAACAACCGAAACGGTTTCGGCCCCCAATTACATTCCTTATTCTCCAACAAAATGATATTGTGATCAGAGACAAACCTTGGAAACAAGGTTTGGCTTAATTTTGGAAAATACGAAAAATATGAATGATCAACCAAAAATCGATCCAACCTCTCAAAAGTTGGAACTTCCCTATTGTTACACCACGTAAAACTACCTCCAAATAACGGCAAATCAATCAAATTCGCCTGACTAACAAAATCTCTAAAACTGTTCACAGATACCGGATTCACTGCTCCTCCATCTTTCTCTTCCTGAGTCAATACTGCATTGAAATCTCCTCCTAAACACACTGGGCAATCAAGTTGTTCCAAAAAGGATGATAACTCCCTAAAAAACTACTCCTTGTTTGCATCAACACTCGGACCGTAGACATTAATAAAACAACAAATTCCTGGAACTCCTTCCATTAACCCTTTTAATGCCACAAATCTGCTGTGGATGACTTCTTCCTTCACCACAAAATCCTTTTGATTCCACAGAGTTATTAAACCACCAGCAGAACCCACAGCAGGAACTACTACTGCACCAGTGAGTATTTTACCCCCCATTTTCCTTACTAACAAAGGACTTACAACTTCCAGTTTAGATTCTTGTAAAAATAAAATTGTAGACTTTTTCTCCTCAACAAACCTCCTAATAACACAGAACTCTTTAAAAAAGCCCTAAAAGATCTTGGTCTCTCTTTTAATGAGTCCTGAGGTTTTGGTCTCCCTTGAACTAAACTATTGATCTAAAATTCAAGGACATGACAACAGCCCATCCCAATCTCAATCCTTAGATAAAGGCGGTTGCTATAAATAACCATTGT